TTCATGATTCACTATTATGTACTTCCTCTGTAAACTAATATAAGAGTGTTTAGATCACTAAAATAGTGATCTAAACACTTTTATATTAGTTTACAGAGGGAGTAATTAAGTGTAAACGTAACTAAGCCTATAATCCTCTAGTGGTTTATAGAATACATATAGCAGATATGAGATATCAGAAGCAGAATCGAGAGAGAACAGACAAGAATTAGTTACTCTGAATACAGCAATAGAGTGCATCCTACATAGGTGGATCTTCTTCCTTGCCAATGTCCATGTTTTATCGTTCGGGTTGTTATTAATCGCTGGTTATTCATGTGATGTATTATCAATTTGCGGATATTGCTCGTAGTCCAACGAAGCTGGATTAAGACCGCCCTCAGGCTTGCCCTTGGTGGCGTCATAGCAGCCCATGGTCTGAAACCAGTAGACTGCTCTCGTGCGCCACCTCTTATATTGCGCCCCCTTAAAAGCAGGCGGCTTCAGATGCGCAGCAAAACCACTCGGAGTAAATTGCCTATAATCAGGTTTTTGAATTGTTGGAAATATAAGCAAGTTACTACGAGATTTAATCCGAATAATTAAAAGATAGATCATGACTATAGTAGCAGAGATTAAACTAATGATGCGAACTAGCATAGCAGATGAACAGATCACATCTAGGGCAGATACTAGAAACATGAATTCTACCACGATCTCGAACAGGAAGGATAGAATCACATACGGTGCAGCGAGTGCAGCACCGCCAGCGTTGACGTTGTCGCTCATGTCGTCGAGGATGAGGTTGCCGAGGTCGGGGAAGAAGTCGTCGCTGCCAGCAGTCGCACGAGTGCGCTTCCCAATAACCTGATCGCCCCTCTCTCGTACAGGATCACGAGAGGCGGGGTTCCGGAGGCCTGTTGTCCCTTCTCCCGGTGCACGCTGAAAGAGGGATGGAGAAGACTTGCTTGGCGGCGCAATGATCTGGAACGGTGGTGAGAAACCATATGAAGCGGCGGCGGTTAGGGTAGACGTCTGCCTGACTATATAGTGCGGGCCGGGTCCGTGTCGTCACGATCTAAAAGAATCGGAAACGGTTCAACAAAAATATAGACAACGTGCATAGCTCTGTCCTCGGCTCGGCTCAATTCCGCAACCCGCGGCGCGGCGAGGAGGAGGAGCGCGCGTGTAGGTCTCCTCTTCTTATGCTCATACAAGTGGTAGAAGAGCTCACCTTATAAAGAGGTGCAACTCTTTCTCAACTTTCGGGGTGAGACTAAACTTTAGTCTCACTCACTCCACTCACATGTGTGCATGAATGGGCCAAGAGAATTTTAGAATTTTAGTTGGGCTTTAGCAAAATTCCAACAGTCATGCACATATGCACATAGAGTGATTGACTAGCCGTCGATGCTTCGGTACTTAGCACCCGGACGGAGCAGTCCTTAGCTCACGTTGGCATGAGCAGTGCTCGGAGAGCATGAGCTCAGCCCGTAGCTCACGTTGGCATGAGCTCAGCAGGTCTACTGGGGCCTCTTGGCAGCTCTCGGTGCTACTGTGGGTCGTGCACTCGGGGGAGAGACGGAAGAGAAGCGATGCCAAGGAGATGGGCTTCAAATATTTTGAAATGGAGGGAGCAGCAAGGAGAGCATTCGCGTGCTAAAAACTGTGTCCGAACGTTCGCTCTCTAGGTTTTTAGGTGTACGCGTCTACTCCACCAGACGCACCGGCACACCAGCAGATATGTTTTGACCAACTGCGCCTCCACCTCCGGCTGCAGCAGCACGCGCGCGAGCGAGCGACGACTCTCTTCTATTTTTCCGTCCTGCTCTCTTCTCTGACTCTGTCATCCTTGCCTTCAACGCCATTTCAAACCACACCCGCACAGCGATCGCCGCCACCACCGCCGGATGCCGATGGCCGCGCCGCAGACTCGCCGCCACCAGGCCGCCTTCCTCCGCAGCAAGCCCCCCGCCCCCGTCCCCGCCAACGGGAAGGCCGGCGCGACCAATGGGAAACCCGCCGCCGCCTCCTCCAAGCCCAACTCGCCCGCCTCGCCCGCCCAGGCACCACCAACGTACGCTCTCCGCCGATCGTCGGTTCGTTCCCTTCCGCTTGATTTTGATTCCAACGATTTATATATGCGGTGTTTATGAATGTGGCGTAGGTCGTCTCTGTTGGAGAGGACGGTGAAGCAGCTCAGGCTGGCCAAGGCGATGACGCTCCCGGAGGCCACCGCGGTGTCCGAGGCGTGCCGAAGGATGGCCGCCAGGCGCGCCGACGCCGCGCTGCTCACCGACTCCAAAGGGGTGCTCTCCGGCATCGTCACGGCCGAGGTCAGAAACTCATCACAAGGGAATATCAACTTTAAACTGCAGGGGAATGATAATGCGATTCTTGGGGCTGGCGCTGGATGACCCAAAAATTTCGAGTGTCCCTTGAGATGAGCTGCAATTCTGCACGGTCATTGTCACGGCTGGCCAGAGGGCCCCGTCCACCAGTGAAGGCGAGGCAGACCGTGGGCGAGAAGGCGAAGCCTTGGCGGTCAAGGAAGGCGCGTAACAGCTGGCCAGAGGGACCCAACATCCAGGCGAGCGGTGTGGTGTGTGGCTGCGGCCGTGTGGGGTTAAGAAGAGGCGAGAGGGAAAGAAAAAGGCATCGAGTATTATTATAAAGGGTGAACCCGAAACGAAGCTGTTCTTCGTTCTGCTCCTAACCAGATCCCTTCCTCCCTTCCTCCTATGCTACCTGCAATTCTAGATCGAGGTCCATAACAAGTGGTATCAGGGCGTCAGACGATCTGGAGACAGCCTACCCCCGTCCGCGCTACACCACCAAGCAGGCGCAGAAGACGGCGGCGATGGAGGAGCAGATCGCCGCACTCGTCAAGTCCGTCAACGAGGGTCGCCCGGCCAACGACGCCCGTTTGGAGGCGATCCAGACCTCCCTCGAGCTGTGGCGACCAGCGGTGACGAATCTCCAACACCAGCTCGACGAACTGCGTACGCAAGTGGGGCGTATCGCGCTGCATCCCGCGCTGGCCGATCCGGTCGGCCAAGAAGGGGATCCAGCAGCGGATCCGATGGCGCGCTCTCCGGCGGCACCCATGACGCCGGGCGGGACGCATCACGGGCCAGAGGGCCACGGCAATATCATCGACTCCGGGGGATCGGCTCACGGGGTGGTCACCACCCTGGCGCCTCCTCCGGTCAAGGGTGCGTCACTCATGCCTTCTCTTGAGATTCCTGCACCTGCATCAATAGATCTCACTAGGGAGCATGGGCAGTACTCACCGCACTCGCCGCATCACAATTGGTCCCTTCCACGGCTGGAATTTCCGCCGTTTGACGGGGATAACCCGCAATTCTGGAAGGCCCGATGTGAAAAGTATTTTGATGTGTATGGCATTCAGAAGGAGATGTGGGTGCGAGTAGCTAGTTTGCATTTTTCGGGCAATGCTGCACGATGGCTACAGATTTATGAAGCCCAGCATGCATCTTTCACATGGGAAGAGTTATGTTCAGCCATGGGGGCAAAATTCGGTCGCGAGCAATACCAAGCCCAATTGCGCCAGTTCAACTCCCTTAGGCAGGCTGGGTCAGTCGCAGAGTACATGGAACAATTTGAGGAACTTATGCATCATTTGCTAGCACATAATGCCGCCTTCGATCCACTGTTTTTCACCACGCAATTCATAGATGGCTTAAAAATTGAAATCAAAGACGGTGTAGCTTTACACCGCCCCCAAGATTTGGACTCTGCCTTTTCTCTTGCTTCGTTACAGGAGGAACTGTTGGCAAGCATGCCACGGCGAGATCATCAACGCCACGAACAAGGGGTGCCTCGCGCTCCGGTACGCCCATTACTGGCGGCAGGCGCTCCTCCTCCACGAGCGGCACTACCGGCGCCCCAAGGAGCGGCCGAAGATCGCCGTGCCCTGGATGCGGCGCGGGCTCCAGATCATCGTCACGATCAAGGCCGAGGCCAAGACAGAGTCGCGGCGCTGTGCAACTACAGGCGTGCCCGAGGGCTCTGCTTCAAGTGCGGAGAGCGCTGGGGGCAAGGCCACCAGTGCGCGGCCATGGTCCAACTTCATGTGGTCGAAGAGCTGTGGGAACTGCTACAAGCCGAAGAACAAGACAGACAGGGGCACCAGACAGACGAAGAGCAGGTGATGTGCATCTCCAAGATGGCCACCACAGGAGAAACAACACCACGTACAGTCCGGTTGCTTGGGATGCTCGATGGGATTGAGGTGCTTATCTTGGTGGATTCTGGGAGCTCCCATAGTTTCATCAGTGAAGCGGTGGCGACGCGCATGAAAGACAGAATTCAGCCCATACCATCTATAGCAGTCAAGATCGCAAATGGAGGAATTCTGCAGTGTTCGGGCATAATTCCTAGATGCTCCTGGAAGACTCAAGGCCAACAATTTGTCACATATGTCAGGGTGCACTCCTTGGGATGCTACGACATGGTCGTGGGAATGGATTGGCTGGAGCAATGTGGGCCAATGTTAGTGGATTGGGCAGCCAAAACACTCCAGTTTGACCACGAAGGACGTCAAGTGGTGCTGCAAGGATTACAAGCAAAAACGTCTCAAGTGCAACAGGTAGACATGGCGCAGCTGTTAGCCTTGGAGAGCAACAACTCCATTGCACATATTGTGGTGTTGTACTCAGCTGAGCAAAGTGAAGGAGAAGACCCAATACCAGCAGAACTACAGCAAATTGTAGATGCCTTCCCTGAAGTGTTTGCTGAACCAACTGAACTTCCAGAGCACAGAAGTTGGGACCACTCCATTCCGTTGATACCTGGGGCCAACCCCATCAACATCCGACCGTATCGGTATACACCAGAACAAAAGGATGAGATAGAAGCCCAAGTGAAGGAAATGCTAAGATTGAGGCTAATTGTACCAAGTAACAGTCCGTTCTCATCCCCGGTGCTCTTGGTCAAGAAAAAAGACCAAACATGGCGATTTGCATTGACTTCAGGCACCTCAATGCTATCACGCTGAAGACTACCTACCCAATGCCAGTTATTGTCTTATTGACGAGTTATTGGACGAGATAGCAGGATCGCGCTGGTTTTCCAAGCTAGATCTTCGAGCGGGATACCATCAAATCAGGCTGCGACAAGAAGACGAGCACAAAACGGCCTTTAAAACCCACATCGGCCACTACCAATTCCGAGTGATGCCGTATGGATTGGCATATGCGCCAGCTACATTCCAAGGAGTGATGCATGTGGTCTTGCGTCCAGTTCACCGAAAAGGAGTCTTGGTGTTCATGGACGATATCCTGATCCATTCTGAAGATCTGGACACACACAAGCAGTTGCTCACCCAAGTACTGCAGCTGCTGAACCAATATGGTCTGAAAGCCAAACGAACCAAGTGCACCTTTGGGCAACAGAAAATCAGCTATTTGGGTCACATTATCAGTGAAGGAGGAGTGGCCACTGACAACAAGAAAGTGCAAGCCGTACAGGAGTGGCCTGTGCCAACCAATACCAAGGAATTGAGGGGGTTCTTGGGCCTCGCTGGCTATTACAGAAAGTTTGTCCGCTTCTTTGGGGTGATCAGCAAACCACTCACCAATTTGTTGAAGAAGAACACGGTGTTTGTATGGACACCTACGGCAGACGCAGCCTTCTCTGCCCTGAAAAAGGCCTTGAGCGTAGCCCCAGTGCTTGCACTCCCTGACTTTCGTCGCCAATTCGTGGTGGAAACAGACGCAAGTGCCACAGGAATAGGAGCGGTGCTGATGCAAGACAACCACCCAGTGGCTTATCTAAGCAAAGCATTAGCCCTCAAGAATCTTGGCCTTTCAGCATATTAAAAGGAATGCCTGGAACTGCTGCTAGCCATCGACCATTGGCGCCCATACCTGCAACATGCAGAGTTCGTCGTTCGCACGGATCAGAAAAGCCTTCTCCATTTGACAGACCAGAGACTCAACACGCCCATCCAGCAGCGAGCATTTACAAAATTGATTGGATTGCAATACACTATCCAGTACAAAGCTGGCCTGACCAACCGTGCCGCAGACGCACTCTCGCGGCGCGCACACCTTGATCAAGAAGAGCTCGCTGCTATCTCTGTGTGCAAGCCAGTTTGGCTCGAGGCAGTCAAGAACAGTTACCAGCAGGATGCAGCGACACGACAGCGTCTGACCAAGTTGGCCTTGGATCCCAAGTGTGAGCCTGACTTCGCCATGCAGGAAGGAATACTTAGATACAAAGGGCGAGTGTGGATTGGTAATGACACAGAAACTCAGCAACACCTCGTCCAGACACTGCACGCAAGCGCAGCGGGAGGCCACTCCGGCTTCCACGCCACTTACAACAGGATCAAGAGGCTTTTTGCGTGGCATGGAATGAAACAGCAAGTAAAGGACTTCGTTCGCAACTGCATGATCTGCCAACAGGCAAAAACAGAAAGGATTTCACCGGCCGGGCTACTTCAACCCCTGCCGATCCCGAAGAAACCTTGGGCGGTCGTGTCACTGGACTTCATCGAGGGACTGCCCAGATCAGGAGGCTTCGATACAGTTTTGGTGATTGTGGATAAATTCTCCAAGTATGCCCATTTCATTCCCTTGGCGCATCCATTCACGGCCCTTCAAGTGGCGAAGCTGTTTATGAAAGAGATCTTCCGCTTGCATGGCTTGCCGCTAGCTCTCATCTCTGACCGCGACAAGGTGTTCACAAGTAAGGTATGGCAGGAACTGTTCAAACTCTGCCTTACAGAGATCCGACTCAGTTCGGCATACCACCCACAGACGGACGGCCAGACGGAGCGCGTGAACCAATGTCTCGAGGCTTATCTTAGGTGTGCGGTACATTCATGCCCTGCAAATTGGTCAAAGTGGCTACCACTTGCCGAGTACTGGTACAATACGTCCTTTCATTCAGCATTGGGGAGGACCCCGTTTGAAGTGGTGTATGGCCATCTGCCAAGAGAGTTTGGAGTTACTCAGGTTGATGAGTGCACAGTACCGGACCTGGCTGCATGGCTGCAGGAGCGAGAGGTCATGATCGATCTGCTGCAGCAACAACTGAAGCAAGCTCAAGACAGGATGAAGCGACATGCAGACAAGCATCGCACAGATCGCGAGTTCGCCGTGGGCGACGCGGTCCTGCTCAAGCTCCAACCCTTCATTCAGTCGTCAGTCGCGCAACGGCCACATCAGAAGCTTGCCTTTCGCTACTTCGGTCCCTACAGAGTGGTGGCGCGGATTGGGGCAGTGGCCTACAAGTTGGATCTCCCACCTACAAGCAAGATTCACCCAGTCGTCCATGTGTCGCAGCTCAAGAAAGCTCAAGGGGCTGTGGTGCCAGTGAGTCCTACTTTACCTCCTGATGACTCTGTTTTGCAGGCAGAACATATACCTGAAACGGTGCTGGAGAGCAA